GGGTGCCTCTGGCCAGCTCTCCTTGCAGGCACTCTTCCTCTCTGCTGCCTAGGGCTGAGGCCTTGGGGCAGCACAGCAGCACCACCCTGCCCAGTGCAGGCTCCACGGGTCTCAGGAGCACCCCACCGGGAAAGTCTCCAGAGCAGGGGGGCCTTCCACAGGGCTGAGCTCAGCAGACCTTGCCCCAACAAGCTGTGAAAACAGAAATCCCACCTGGATGCAACCCCCAGGCTCTGGAGATGAGGAAATAGTGTCACTTGTTACGTATTGGAGAATTACTGTGCTATTTGAGGCACAGGTTCATGTTGTTTCACTGGCAAACTGGCTTCAGTTATCTTGAATTATTGTCAGAAAAATCCCCCAGCATAGGGAGGCCAGTGAAAAGCTGGCAAGGGAGCGGTGCCTCTTCAGCACACAGGAGCTGCAAGGGAGCCGGCGCCTCACCAGCACACAGGAGCTGTGGTTTCTGCAGCTGTTCCTAAGATTGCAGACTATAATTCAGGGAAAGAGTGTGCCACAGACATGGATGGTGAAGCGCCAGGTCCCTCTGGAAGACACCTGGCGTAGCCCTGCAGAGGCCGGAGGCTTCGGAGCGGCCTTGAGAAACCAAGCAGGGCTGTTCCAACTTGCTTGTTCTGTGCTTAACTTTTTTTTTTAATATGTAAAAGGTTTCAGTTCTTCTTTAAAAAAGCAAAGAGGTGAAACCGAAGCCTCCTGAGCCCCACCTGAGGCGGCCCTGCAGTGGCAGTTCCCAGGTTCACTCCCCCACCTGCTCGTGCCAGCTAGGTTTCACTGCTGTGCGCCTCATTACCTCAGGGAGGCCGAGGGACCTGAGGAGCCCTCGGGGACCCCAGGAGCCCAACAGAAGCAGCTGAGGCCACTTACTGGGGGGCAGCTTCGCCTGGGGGGTCTCCCCTGTTCTGCACCGGCTGGAGAGGCCCTTGAGGGGCCCATCCTGCTCAGAGGTGGCGGAGACCCTCCTCATAGCCTCCTGAGCACCCATGAACCCTGCACCCAGCAGAGCTGCACTGATGCTTCTGGATAAGTCTTAAGTGTTGGGCAACTCACCCCATGCCCTAACTGCTGGGCACACAGTGCTTCCTGAGTTCCAGCATGGGATTGCTGGTCTCGGGCTGTGTGTCTTCCTGTCGTACAGACCCCGGGCAGCCCGGGGAGGCTGGCTGGTCCAATCACGGTCACTGTGCCATGCAGCTGTTCTCATCTGTGCCTGATGTGAACAAGCGCATCTGCTAGGATCAGCCCAGAGCCCCCCAGGGGCCTCCAGGCCTCACGGTCTCAGGACTTGGTGAGGCTGCTGCTCTTGGGCTCCATGCTGAGGCTGCTCTGACCTCTGACCTCTAAGCCTGTGAATCCCGAAGGGCTGCTGGGACTTCCTCCGCAGGAACCTCTGGTGCCTGGACACCACCAAGCATGAGTGAAAAACCAGGCTCAAAACACACAACACACTAGGACTCATTAGCATGGGAGCTAGGTGGCCTCAGGAGAGTCCCCCCCAACTTCCTCTGATTACCTCTCCTTCCAGGCACAGGCCAGGACGGACGCTGTCAGTCACCAGCTCTCCTTGTTCCAGATCCAAGCACCCTGCCCTTACTGTGGCAATGGCTGCATGCCCAGAGTCCCCCCACAGAGGTGCTGCGGCGCCAGGGCTGCTGGGTGGGACGTCCTCTCACCAATCCTAGTTGTTGCCAGGTGTGTGATCTGACCTGGGGGTGTTGCGGCCCTGGTGTGCCCCACTGCACTCAGGTCACAGCCCAGTGCTGTGCCTGGGTCCCCCCAGAGGCATGTCCCTGCTCACCTGGGCCCTGGCCGTCCAGGGCCCTCGCCTGTGGCCTGGACAAGGGACTCTGCTCCAGGTGTCCTCTCTCCAAGGCCTCGTGCATCCACCAGTGTAGTTTGGTCACCATATCAAACTTCCCTCTTTCGATCGCTGTGGTTTGTCTGACCCAGGGGACAGCTCTCTGCCGCTCCTCCAGGCCTCCTCAGCCTCCCACACACCTGCCCCTCAGTATCCGCTGCACCCAGTGTTGTTCTTACCTTTGGTCACTATCCAGACATGGGGCTCTGAGCCAGAACCATCCAGTGACAGTGCAGGGTGACCTTGAGGATGACCCAGACTTTCTTGCCCACCCTCTAAAACATTTAAGCAAAACCATTGTTTGGAGCAAAAAATAAGACACCCTAGCACCCTGCATGCCCGGGACAATTCACTGCTTCCCTGGAGGACTGGCCGCTCCAATGCAGTGTGAAGAGGAACTGTGTGAACAGGTCGTCTCTTCCCACTGACCTCCCTATCTCCAGTTCTGATTCCACTCGCCTCTGTCCTTGCCAACCTCATCTACCCCAGAGCTAGGTGCCTGGAATAGGGCTGGCCACAGATGGGGTGGGGGATACCCCTGAGACGTCCACACAGGGCCACCTGGAAGCCCTGGTCAGCTTTAGCTACTTTTCCCTAGGGCTGAGAGCCGCTTGCTCCTACCCTCGCCCCGGCTGACTCATCTTCCTCCTCATCCCACACAGCCCGGGGGCCGCCTCGGGCTGGCCTCATGGTTACTGGCCTCATGGTCACTTCTCACTGCTAGGCCCTGAGTTAAAGAGAAAAGTTAATTACTTAGGAGCGCTGTTTGTGCGGTGTGAAAAGCTTACCTTCGGCTGAGAACTTGTGTGATGAAGGTCGGTGGGCCCCTTCTCCAGGAGCACTGCCAGTGTTATGACCAAGACTTCTGGCCCTCGCCTGTGGCCTGGACAGACCCTTCTTTGCAAATGTGAATGGCAGGTGATGGCGAGGAAGACCTGGGTACTTGGCAGACATGATTAACCAAGAGCCTGCCACTCAGAGAAAGACAGCTGACATTTGTGGCCAAGAGAATTTTAGCTTTCCAGCAAAAATTTCAGTTATAAAATGTGTACCACTATGAGTCAGCTTCCCACTTGTGACTTTTATGAGACCATTAGTGATATTTATGTGATAATAATAAAAAATTTCAACACTTGAAAATCTGCAAACTCAATTAAAACAATACTTTCCAAATAACCAATGCAGAATGTTATTAACGAGGCATGGTGGCCAGGTGTGGTGGCTCATGTGTGCAATCCCAGCAGCTCCTGAGATTGACAGGAAGCTTGTAAGTTCAAAGCCAGCCTTTGCAAAAGCAAGGCACTAAGCAACTCAGTGAGACCCTGTCTCTAAATAAAATACAATATAGGGCTGGGGATCTGGCTCAGTGGTCGAGTCCCCCGCCCCCAACCCTACAAACAAACAAAGGCATGGGCTGCAAGTCCACTCTTGAGTACACGGCAAATGGACTTAAATTAAGTGAAGACCATTAGTTCACTGATGTGGATTTTGATTCAATGTTGCAATGAAGCTTTAAGAAATCACCAAACACCAAAGTCAGCTACAAATGCTATTACCACTGTCTGTTCCGGTTATGTGTGTATGTGAAGATTTCCTCTGTAAATCTATTAAACCTTTATCTGGGGCTTCTTTCTCCTGGCAGTGTCTCTGGTTTTCAGTGTAGAGGACTTGAACATCTAAGAAACAGCCCAAGGTTTCATCGTTTTGGTGCTACTGTAAATGAACTTAATTTTTTTTCTAATTGTTTGTGACAAACATATAGGAACACAAGCATAAGAAAGGGTCTTCATGCCAAAAAGGCTGTGAACCAACGAACCACTCTGGTTCTAAACCTAAAAACTATTTTACTAAACCTAAGTAACCAAACTTACTTTTGGCGACTTAGGTTTAGTAAAATCCACACCTACACCTGGCCAATATCAAAACGACACCCACAATTTTCTAAAGCATTCTTTTTCTCATTAGAGTGCTCATTAGAAACAAAAACTTCCCGAATACAAAGTGAAAACTCATGTGCCTACCACCCAGCCCCAGTGCCAGTTCATACCCCTCCTGATCTGTCTCTACCGTTTCCCCCTCCAGTACTGTGAAGCAAACCCACGACACCATCACAATGCCCCTGGTATCCCCCAACAAGAGCTCCATGCCCTAGCAAAGCTGGCTCTGAACCAGACTGCACCAACCATCTGCTGAGTGTGGGTGCTGCTCCCCAAAGGAGCTGGGCAGTTTCTGCTCCCAGTCACATTCCGTTTAACAGTCCAGAAGTTCATGAGGTTCACTAAATTATTTCTCAGCATGAGGTCTCTGAAATACTTCAAAGAATAGTCCAAGCAGGGGATGGCGTCAAGTTTAATATCCTTTAAAGACGTAGAGCAATTGGGTAGCTTCTGGGGTCTGCCAGAGTTTCTGACGCCCAACTTGGCTTCTGTGCTTGACACCTGCTGGCTGCTGCGCTCCACAGCCTCCTGCTCTTCCTGTTGGTGTTCACCAGTGGGTCTGCGACAGTCAGGTCACATGTGATGCCACTACAATTCACACATTCTTAAAGAGTCTACATTCACTTTAATATCTGCCGAAACCAAAGTCTGGAAAATTATGTTACCGATCTCTTATGAAAATAAGCACCCGAAGACAAGGATATTAGGTGGCACGCAATTTATACTCCCCTACAATAGAGTGAGAACAAGTGCCACAAAACTAGAAGTTTTTGATTCCCAGCCCCCAAACTAGAGGATTTGGGGTGTGTGTGTATGGGGGGTGTACCAGGGATTGAACCCAGAGGCACTCGGCCACTGATCCCCATCCTCAGCCCTATTTTGTATTTTATTTAGAAATAGGATCTGAGTTGCTTAGCTCCTCACTTTTGCTGAGGCTGGCTTTGAACTCGCCATCCTCCTGTCTCAGCCTCACAAGTTGCTGGGATTACAGGTGTGTGCCATCGCGCCTGGCTAAAACTAGATTTTAACAAAGCAAAAGCATTTTAAAAATACAATGGAGATCATGAGAATAAAGTAAAATCTCACCAGAAAAATAAAACACAACACCAAACTCCCCCCTCCCTCCCTCTCGCTCCTCCCACTGCCAACTCCACCTGCCCCGCGAGAAAGTACACCTAGGAACAAAGTGACCGTGAGAGTGTTTTACTCAATTTGTAGAGAACAGTTTTAAAACAAATGTTAGTACACTCTTACAACACTGGTTTGCTCATGTGACATTTTCTCCATCTGCACCAATTGTTATTACAAAAAAATCCAAAAAGTAAAAATTCATTACAATATTTGCAGTGTAACCACTAATTTTGCCTAAACAAAAGCTAATTTCTACAAAACCATAAACTTAATGCAGTTTTATTAAGAGATTCAAAATTCTCTCAATTAACTGGATATACATAGTGATATATGTGAATATATATATATATATTTTAAAGCAGGAAATCTCAAAAAACAAAAAGGGAAAAAAAAAGTAAAAGTAGTTAAATATTTTGATCTGACAGTTCCTACAAATAGTAATATCCGCTACGTATAAAGGAAACCATTATATGTGGTACAAATCCTAGAGAGCAAGTAGGAAATGTGGAGTAGAAACAGTCACAATCCGCCCCAGGCTGGGCCTGTTCTAATGGAACCCAGGGCAGTAGGCTGCATCACGAAGCCATTGTGCGCCACACTAAAACCCCCACCCTGTGGCAGTTGCAGTGAGAAGACTCTGAAAGAGACAAACGCTCTTTTCTTCGACAATCCCGACCGGAATCTCTGTGAGGCTGCATGGTCAGGACCTTACAGAGAGAGCAAGGAGGCCCTCAAAACGATGCCCAAGTGTAAGAGGTAACTCGCCAGGCATCTCGACCACTGCCCCCTTATTGTGATCAGATACAACTTACAAAAAGGAAAATGGCAATTTCTGGTGACAGTATTAAAAAATCAAGTAGACACCGGCATCAGAAAAACCAAACTGCAAAAGAGAATCTTCTAAAAGGATGAATACCCTGCCAGGGACACCTCTGGGCCCAGGAAGCCTGCTCAGGCACCACTCACTCACTGGGAGCTGCTCGGGCAGGAGTCTACTTTCTCAGAGTTCAAGTACAAAAGCAGGACGGGGGAGACCCTCCAAGTTGGTGCTGCCATGGTGCTATGAGTTAGCTGTCGGGGAGGTGGCCAGTCTCTTGTCCTCAGGAGCCGTGGTGCAGGTACATGGCACCAAGGACGGCGCTGTCATACCGCTGCTCCACCCGCACGCAGCTGGAGTGCTCGACCACGCTGCTCAGCTCAGGGATGCTCTCGGCAGTGTCCCCAAAACCGTGGTAATGTCCATACTGCAAGTTCTCCCCAATGTCCTCCACCCAGGAGGGCCTGCTGGCCACGCAGCTACTGGGGCTTCCATTCAGGTGCAGAGAACCGCACATCTCAGGGTTAACACTCATGGTCTTTTCTGGCTCCTCAGTCCCATTAACACAGACAGAACCCACTAATCCATTGCTAATTCCATTAGGTCCTGTCAAGCCCGGGTCATTCCTGCTTTCCATCCCATTGAGCGGGGCCACGCAGGGGAAATCCAAATGTCCATTGATGACACATCCATTTGTCAATGTATTCGATACGGAGCTACTGTTTTTCATATCTGCATTAAGAAATACACCTGTCACCAAAATTCAGAACAGGGTGGGAGACAGTATAAAAACGCTTCATTGCTGCCACAATTGTAAGGGATTTAGTTTCTTTTCTTTTGCTTCTTTTAGACAAACCAGCTCCTTTTCAAAAATTAAAATGAAAAAAATGAACAGGTATGTTTACAAACAAAACACGGGAGCAGTATCTGCCTGGCAAGATAGGAAAACGATGCACTCAGCATCATTGGGCAGTCAAGTTTAGAAACACAGGCTGACAAACACAGCACGCAGAATACCAAAAGTAGGAAGAAACTCAAAAAATCTTATTTTAGAACTACTTTTGAAGAGCAGTTTTAAAAACAGCCCCTGAAAAGGTCCATCAGAACTGAACACTGTAAAGTTTTTCACAAAGTTAAAACTTCTCTATTTCTTAGGAGGAGGTGGGGGAAGGAAACAGGTGAATCAGGAATGCTCCAACCACGTACAAAATACCACAGGACAGGAGGAGGAGCTAGCTTTCCTTTGTGATGCTCAAATCCACAAGGACCTCTGGGAAAGGCGGTGAAAGAGCACCAGCAGAACGGCAAGCACAGGCAGAGAGAGGCTGCACAGCCAGGGACGCTCTCGCATGGCAGTGGGCTAGGAGCACAGTTCTGAGGAGTCTCTTCAAATCCAGCAATTAAAATGACCATGAGGGCTGGGGTTTCATGGTGTTAGGTCATTTTCAAAAACCACTTATGCTGGGAAAAAAAATGCTGACAGTTTAACCTGCATATACTAACACCCAGTAGGAAGGCCACGTCCCATGGATGTAAAGTCCATCACAAAACGCTTGGGCACGTAGAATAGACAATCAATCACAAATCATTTCTCTGTGTATTAGAATCTGAGAATATCCCGGTTTTCAGGAACTCACAGAGCACTACAGAGAATGCTCTAAGATCACCTCTTGCTTGATGATAATCTCACCTTGAAGTCCTGGCTATCAACCGAGGAGCAATAGATACAGAAGAGCTCAGTCCTAGTAACGCTCAGAATAAGGACTTGTTCTAAACAATCCAAATACCCTAGCGCGCCACACACTGTGCCACTCTTACCATGAAGGGCCTCCTTTCTCTTTTACTATCAGACCCAAGGGGGACTCTGTCCTGCCTGTCTTCTGGCCAAGACAGGATTGTTTCTGGTTCAATGAACAAGACATCTTCTAAACATTCCACAATCATCAAAAAAAATTTTTTGGTGATTTAATCAACAATTAGCTTAATTGCTATTAACTCTTCAGGGACAATGGATCTTTTTTTCTTCTCAAACTAAATACTAGCTTTTCTATTTAGTTAAAACTGAAAACTAGAGAGCAGTGTCTAAAGGACTAAATATAAATAAAAAGAAATTAGGTTATTTCCAGGGCAAATTTTATATCAATTTTTTTTCAAAAAATAAAAGTATTAAATCACCTGACATAATGAAACTCATAGATACGATGGCAACACTGGACAGTTACCAGTCTACTGTGTATATAGTTTTTTACTGAAATAGAGTAAGCTGAAGCTTTCTGAAGTGCTCAGACCTCATCTTGCTCTGGAGACTGTGAGGGAGCCTGGGCAGGCGGTTGCTGCAACACTCCCTGGCTCAGCTCCCGCGGCACTTCAACAGCCTCTGTCCCACCACATGTCCAGCTCCCCACAGGTGCCACCAACATCCACACCCACTCCACAAGGGAGTGGGCAGCTGTGAACAGCCTGGGGACAAAGCCTATGATACAGCCTGCCCCAAGTCCAGCAGTCCCAGAGAAAGCCATGGTTCTTTAGAGAAGGGAGGGCTATGGACCCTGCTTGAGGTCTTGAATGAGGGGCATTCAAAATGTAAAGGCAACATTTGAGCAGCTTTTCAAATATGCACTGTCCTTGAAAATGATCCTATAAGAACAAAGAACAATACTTGGAAGTACTCAGGGGAAAGCAGCCTGACTCCTGTGACGTCCTAATGGACAGAGGCGGCAGTTCCTGTAAACGTTCAGTGGACAAGAAAAGCTGTTTCACCTAAGAAAAATGCAAGTAATCTCTAGTGATCTGTAAGTTTGTTTCCTCAGACAGTGTTCTAAGGCCACAGTGGAAAGCACAGGAAGGCCTACGGCATCTGACGTGGGAGTGCACAGGGCCAGATGTGAAGCCAGCCACCAGCTTCACACGAAAGGACTGGAAGTCATGTGGGGAGAAGGCAGAACCATTATCCTGCCCACTCAAAAGCACACAGCACAGTCCGCTTTTCTTAAAAGCAGGCTTTGAGTCTTGTTTATCTTTAGCCAAGGCCAAATAGCCCCTGACTACAGAAAATGTACTATTTAAAAGAATGGCAGAAACAAGTGTTCACTAAATAGATAAATCCTTTCAGAAATTCCAAATGCTAGAAGAAATTGAGCTTTTTTCCCTTTAAAAATAAAAAATATGACTATTAACTGTTTTAATGTTAAACATCTTAACATATAAACTGTTTTGTGAAATGATGTTCAGCATTGCAACAGACTTAGAGGGAATGCCAGACATCAAAGCAACCAAGACCATGGGACCAAAGATCCCCACGGCATGAGTGGGTCACAAGTCAGCACCACAGTGTTAACAGTTCCCAAGGTGCCCAGTGAGCTCTTCCTGGCTACACATTGCCTTGAAAAGACTGGCAATAGCATGATGGGTACGTTCATCCAAAGGTTGTCAGAAAATTAAAAATGCAACCTCATTAAAAATAAGCAAGGCACATTAAGCAAAACTTCAAATCAAAACGGAAGATTGCACTTGTATTCTCATATCCAGAGAATGCACCAAACACTTGTCCTTGTATCTACAAACTTGCCCAAGATGCGCAAATTATTACATTTTTTAAAGATACTGGACACCACAGTGCAAAAATGGTTGAGAGAAAATTATGTTAGAAATAATATGCATACTGATTCTTGCAACGACAAGGGGTTTGCATTGCTGAAACAGTATATATTTCTATTTCTTTTGGTCCAACAGAACCACTCTCTTGTTGTGTGGTGTCTTCGACCATTGGGTTGTTGTTGCAGACAACAGGAAACTGTCCACTCCCACCTGTTACAGCAGAAAATTCTCTATCAACGTGCATTCTGTCAGCGTCGTCTTCGGTCTCGCCGTTCATTAGTGGCATGGCGTAGTCCAGGCTTGGAACTGCACAGAGAACAAGGACTTCAGACCCTTAGAACACACAATAAAACTAAGACACATTTTCAAAAACCCTTTTTATCAGCAATGAATGCTTTTGAACTCTCAAGTAATTAAAAAAGTAAAGACCACTAATTTAATTTCCCACAATAAAAAATACTTCTTGAAGCGTGCAGTTCAATTAATGTCATGCAATTCCAGATATATTTTCTAATTATACTTGATGGCAAAAATACTAATTTAGGGATCTTAAGAGAACAGAGATCATACAACCTATAGATAATTTGAAACATTTTTTTCCCCAAATTCAGAAACTATTTTTCAAAAGAAATGGATAATTCTTAAACACACTGTCCAAGTGGCTTTTGATCTGTGACCAAAATACAAAAAAATTGAAGACACACACTAAAAAATCTTGAGTCCCAAGGAATCTAGAGCTAAAGCTACACATGCACACTCTGTGTCCAGCGGTGGAAAAGGCACACATCTAGTCATGTCCACAGGCAACACTGTACACATCTATTCACCAAACTCGACAACACTCATGTCTCTGTTACAATGTCTTTTTTTTTGCCAGAAGGATCTTAAAAATCACTGTTATATCTTGGTTTATGCATTCACCATGGCTTGAATCCCACCGTAACTTAATTTCAGAAGGTCTTTAATTTGCCACATTCACGTGTACTTAAGATCCACCTAACCAAAGTTCCCTGAGGTCTGGGTGGTTTCATTCTTCTTTCCTCCAAATACCAGAGTTAACATCCTTATAAACACATCTGGTTAGTTTGCATTTCTGGTTCCTGAATAAATATCCAGAATTATTTCTGGATCAAAGAATGCACAACACAAATAACAACTCTTACTGTGTAATATTTCTCTCAAACTTTTGGAAATAGAGAACTGAACTCTGTAGCTTTAATCAGTTCTAATTTTAGAAACCTCAATCACTGTCAAGGTGTCAATCGCGGATTACTCCCCAAAGATGCTAATGTACAGAATGGGAAACATGATTCCTAACTACAAAGAGTAAGTTGTATATTTAGGAAATAAAGTAAAAGTCTGCACAAGACAAACACATTCTTCAAACACAGGTGATCTGAAACCCAAGGCACTAAAGCATCTTTTACTCCCTAAGAGTTCCTAAATCCTCCACACCCCAAATCAGCAAAGGCAATCCTCAACCTCACTAAAAACCAGTACTCACTTTTCCAAAATCAATAGTAAACAGGTTAGCGTAACAAAAATAAAAATAACTAAAACTGGGGGAGGTAGCAGCACTGATGCCCTGTGTGCAGGGGACGCTCTGCTCACTTCAGGGGGCTCTTGGGGTAGCTGTTACCTCCAGCTCATTTCCTTGACTCCATGGCACTGCTCAGCCAGACCAGCGTGCTCCCTCAACAGACGCACCCCCAGGACACACCCAGCAAGGCTGAGCGTCTTCACACTTGGCGCCTGGTTCTGTCTGAGGTTCAGATGTCAAATGTTTCTTGTATAAAACGACAACTAGAGGTCATTTTTGCAATTTCATACTTCTGAAGAGCAGGATTTTTAAGAAAAACACCTTACAGATAAAAGAATGTGAAGATCCCCCCTGCTCCCACCCTAATAAGGGCGCCCATCCTTTCATTTGCTAATAAGCCCAGAGCCCAGGACAGTACCCAGGTCTAGGAACAAAGCCCACTCACTAGCCAGAAACACAGAGAGAAAGAAAGAAAAAAAACTTCAGAAAAACTAGAGTATAATAAAACTTGAAGAGCCACAACTGCCTCAGGCAGGAGGGCCGCCTCTGTAGCAGTGAGACTGAGGGCAGCTGGGTTGCCAGGGGCGCGGAGTCTGGTGCCAGGGAAGGCTTAGGGATTCATTCACAGACTGTTGGGACCAAGCAAAACCTACCCTGGAGCAGGATTCACTGCTCACTGGGCGGGTGCCTCCTGCTAATGCAGATGCTTCCTCATTTATAAGGTAGAAAGGAAAGGAATCCACACCGCAGCAAGCAGTCTTTCCCCCAGTCTGCAGTGTTGCTCCTATTGCCTGGTCCAGGAACTTGGGTGAGCCGACTCTGCACCAACGCCTTCTTCCTCTCTGTATCCCTAGAACCTACAGACAGGTGCTCAATGGCTGGCTGTAATTTTAAGTGGCACACTACCAGCCATGGAATTAAACTGGCCTCTCCAGACCTTCAGAACCTTGGGCTTGAACTCCTGCATTTAACACCAGGCACCTGTGGCAGCTCCTCCCACAGCTCCTCCACCTGCTGAGGGTGGCCTGTGCAGACATCTCAGAGGAACCAACACTGGCCTTGGTGACCAAGCTGCATTCTATACTTGTAGTTTTGGGAAGGAAGCATTTTTATTTCCCATCTTCCTACTGACTTGCAGTTCAAGGAAAATGGCTGAATATTTCCTAAACATATGTGCCATGATCCTTACCTTCCTACTGGTAAGAAGAGCAGGCATCTGCTGAGAAGTCTCATGGTGGACACTGGAGATGCAGGACAGACAACTCCCTGCATTTGTCTCAACCTCCCAGCCTCCCATGCACAGATACAGCCCTGGTTCTTGACCTGGGGGGCCAGAGCCTCAGACAACTCAGTGGCCAGCAAAACTACAAGTTCTATTACCAAAAGTTAAAAACATGGGGAAGGTGTCACCCAGTTTTGAGAGCCTTGAGAGGGGGCTGCACTAGGAAAGTAATGTGCTGGACACCAAGGATGGCCACTGCAGAGCCTCGCTGAGTGATACCCAGCGCAGGACAATGATGTCTGACTGCTAGGCACACCTGCAAGCAGACCAGGGTGTGCAACTACCATGGCAGGAAAACCGCTACATAGTTGCACCACTGAGCTGCCCATGCTCTAGTTAGCTCCTGGGCACTGCTCCCAAGACCTGCCCACACTGGTTCTGTTCCTCAAGATCAGAGAAGCACATGCCCTCTCACCTGAGCAGAAACCTCCAAGGACTCATGTGTAAATCTGAGGGAGATCGGATCACATCAGGTTCATGATCAACTTTCAAGTGCTCAGGGGGTGACTTAGAACCTGAGAAGTGGCCAATTGCTTCAGGCCCTACACACTGTGGCCTTCCCATGGCAGAGTGCACGTGAGTGGGAATGCTGATCACAGGGAGGATGCAACTTCCCATGGAAGGAACAAGTGGAAAACACTCCTTCATGGTTCCCACCAGCCACCGGTCGTTAGAACTGACTGACTTCGATTATCTACTTTTTTCCTAAGAAAGATCTTAGTTAAACCAGTACTCAATTGACCTTTAGTGGAACTTGGTCTCCTGCCATGGCCTGAATCCCAGCAGGCAGATGGTGAGAATGATGTGAGGCGTGAGGGTGACACTGACAGGGAAGTGCACCCAGGAGACAGAGGCAGTAGTGCTGTCAGACTGAGGAAGGAAAATCAGTGTCCCAAACTGTAGAACAAGCAGAGCGCATAGGTAGCAATGGGAACCAGACGCTGTGTGGTCTCAATGTAGCATAGCCTGCTCACAGCATCTTAACACAATGAGGGGTGTTCTGCTGCTCTAAATTTTTAAAAACAAATATGAACAGTTTTTCAGTATAGGTTTTAGGAGACCAGAGACATAAGAAGTTAAAGCATCTTATGTGGCTGAATTAGGGGAGCTAAATTAAAATTTTATTTTTGGGGTTTTCTTTGAATCTCATCTTTAAGACATGAGCAAACACCTAGTATTTACCAAATTAGCTAGTCACATTGCCCTTAAAACTTGAACTCTTCAAGTCTGCTCAACAAAAGCAATTACAAACAGAAAAATAGGCCAGTCTTAGCAGTGCACACATTCTAACGCCAACTACATGGGAGTTTGAGGCCAGCCTAGGAACCTTACAACTTTTTCTCCATATGAAATAAAAATGGCTGGGGATGTAGCTCAGGAGCAGAGGTTTGTCTGGCATGAGGCCCTGGTTTCATCCCCAGGGGCCACCAGAAGAATCAAACAAACCCAAAACACAAAACCCTCAAACTCAGAAAAATGGAGATACTTGGTGTTAAATTCATCCTGGAAAAAAAACTATGCTGGGAAATTTCACTGCTGATTTACAGTGACAGCATTGTAGATATATTTATATTACACACCTACATATCACAGATGAGAATCTGAGGCCAATAGCTATTTGGTTAGAATGACTGTGAAGTCAGTTCAACTTCTGAGATCTGCTGTCACCATAGGCTACTCCTCAGGGCTGTGGTGGTACCAATCATGGCACAAGAAGTTCCTGTGTCCATCTGGACCACCAGCAGAAACAAACAATAATCGACAGGATCAAGTGTCCACCTGTGGAAAAAACTGCATTCTTTCCTAACTAGGGTCACTGGCAGGTTCAGGATGGTCTTCAAGGACTACACATGCCAACACTGTACTGAGATACTCCTGAAGATGAACTAGGAACACCAACAAACCCAAACTTACTATTAAAAACAGGTGCAGTCATGAAATCTTGAAGTTCACCTATCATTCCTTTCTGACCAAAGGACAGAAAGAAAGAGGAAACACCACCCCACGCACACACTATCACTATCCCAAAAGAACAGGATTCCATCCTGGGGAAGAGGCCCCCTCCAACACTTCTCAAGACCAGCTTCTCATCAACTTTAGCTTTACTGCACCCTCCAGGGTTTATACACCCATGTCTATCCAGTAACACCTCTGTTCTGAGCAAACTGCATTTTGATATGACTTGAATGGCTTTAAGTTATTTTAAAGTATGAACTTTCCTAGTATAAGTTGTTTCCAACGGTTTATTTATTATTTATTTTTAATTTTTTTAATATATATTTTTTTAATTTTTGGCAGACACAACATCTTTGTTTGTATGTGGTGCTGAGGATCGAACCTGGGGCCGCATGCATGCCAGGCGAGCGCGCTACCGCTTGAGCCACATCCCCAGCCCTCCATTTATATTCAATTCAAAAAGTCCTAGTCATTTTTATCCATTTAAGATACTTTGTATCACGTTATTTCCAGGAGAAAACTGCTGCAATGGGCAGTACTTCCCAGTGGTTTACTGAAAGCAGAACTACTACCTTCTGTAGGGCCAGACTCATAATCCCAAACTTAAAGAATGCATTTAGAGACCAAGCCAACTGGAATTATTGCTTATTTGAATAAACTTCAAACTAAAAACATCATTCTATGTGATGGCTGAGTTGTAGGAAGACAGAAGAACTGTTTAATTAATAAGGTCAAAGCTATGATCTATTTAGTCAAGGTATTCCAGGCACCTATAGATATGTTTTTAAACAAAAGGAAAAAAAACCTTAAACCCTTCTAATTATTTTTATATGTGAAGTTACTCAAAAGGATTTTTTATGCATGTTACATGAGGAAATGAAATATTTACTGACATGAGAATAGGGATTTATCAAAACCAGTAATTTAGATAGAGAGCAAAACTTGTGCTCATACACACTTCAACGGCAAATCAAAACGAAATGTTAGAAATTATGAATATGAAGTAGTCCTGTTATTTTGAATTACAAACCAAAAACACAACAAAGAATGTAAATAATTATATATTCAACTTCATGCATAGTGGGAAAAACTGTTTTAATGATCAAGAATCAGCTCCAGGACCCCACATTTCACACAGTATGTGACAGTAGGAAAAAGGAAACAAATGGCAGGGCAGGCTGGAAAAGCCCATCTGTGCTAGCAATGTGCAAACGCGGGGCATGTCCAAGGACTTGAACTGCAGAAAGGACCAGACCACGAAGGAGCTGTGAGGTCACAGTCACTCCAGCCATGGCGAGAGAATGGACATCAGGAAGCAGCTCACAGAAAAGCGCATGGAGGCTCAAAGATGTTATCGAGACACTCTGAAACTGCACCCATCACGGAACATGCTCCATGAAGTACAGTGCACCTTTCAGGTGTGCATGACCGTCATCTTGAAAACACATGCATCTCCAGCCACATGCTCTTCTGCACAAGCACCCTCAGACTGAGGACCATGCAGTGTGGGGCGTGCAAACTGGACCTCTACCACTGGACAAAATCAGTCTGACTCTACTCGATTGGCTACAGTAAAATTCACGAAACCTAAGGGATCCTTGGAAACACCTTTTAGGACACTTGATAATGACGTACTGGCCAACTCAGCTGACACTAAAAACTTTTTCTTTTATTTTTATTTTTTAGTTGTAGATGGACACAATACCTTTGTTTACTCATTTTTTTATGTGGTGCTGAGGGCCTCACATATGCTAGGCAAATGCTCTACCACTCAGCCACAACCCCATCCCTACATTAAAAACTTTTGGAATAGTTTTTAAACTCCCTAAATGTGGTGTTTTAGAATCTGATTAGAATGTTAAGGGACATCTTTTTAAAATCACTGAACAGATTTTAGACTTGTCAGCGATGAGGGAGAAATAAAGTATAAAGAACATTTAAACTAACACACATACAATTGATGCACAAGGGCATAATAAGGTCCACATTTTTACCATTTCACAACATTAACCAGGCATTAAGTCAAAGTGCAAATATTGGAAAAAAGTACTCTTAAAGCACTCATTACGTTAACTGAGGCACAGCAATAGAAGAGGACGGCTTGCCCCAAGCCACGTGCACAGAAGATCAAGATCTCCTACTTCCCAGGTGCCTGACAGCACTGGGTGTTTGGCATTTTTAAGACCAAAGAGCAGGATGCTGAGATCATTCTCAGCAAGTCCCACCTGAGCCTGTAACTTCAGTGGTCACTCACTCCACACTTGCTTCTCTGTCATGTTCTCTGCGTGTTCCTGCCATCAGTCAAAGACATTTCATACGTAAGCACAGTCAGTCTCTCCTCTATTGAAGGGAAGACTTTTCAAGTTAAAGAGTGATCAGTGACTGCTACGCAAACTCCAAATCCATCTTTAAAAAACAGGGAAGAATGAAGTAACTTACCTCAGACCTGACACCAAAACTAATACAGGAACTCACACACCACACAGGGCATGAGAACCAGTCGAAGTCACATCCCCCAAGCCAGTGGTGACAGATGTTTGACATATCATCTACAATTATTATAAGTTCAGAAACATTTTCCAAGAAGTGAAAAAACAAATCAGGTATGGTGGCATTTTTTTTTTTTTTTTTTTTTTAAGTGGTTGTATTCTGAACAGATAGAACAGATGACCAAATTCTTCCTAATTCCTGGCAGGGTGCTCAGAAGCTGCAGGCACACACTCACAAGTGAGGTGACATGTCCCTCCCACACCTGCCCTTGTCATGAGATACATCTTCACAGTGGTGGTCACCGTCCTGCACAAGAACTCTCCAGGTACGGCTCACCTTGCAGGAAGGTGCCTCTCCAAGGTATGCTCTGCCATGCAAGATACTCGCCCGGGAAGGAAAGTCCTGCTTTTCCCCAGCCCACATGGTCTCACCTCCAGTTCTGGCTTTCTTCACTCCCAAGGATTCCGAATCTTCTAAGCATCTCTTTCGATTTGTTCCCACACTAACACGATTGGGAAATCCGTTTTCATGGCCCCCACTCAAGGCACCATTATGACAGAAACGGTTCAGGTGACAATTCTGGAGGTTCAAGAGAAACTGGGTGCACTCTTGGAAACCCTGGGTTTGTGCAATGTCTGCTGCTGTCAGGCCACTGGCATTTCTCAAGCTGCACAACACAAAAACACTGAATTACACCCATTAGCATTTGAACCTGGTCTCTGCTCCTGCTGAACTGACTATCTATCTGAAGGTGATATGAAAAAGCCAACAAATTTACAGCAAATCTTCATTAAAGTAGTTAACTATCCTAACTCCATAACTAACTTCTCTTATACACATTTGATTTCTAAGCAATATTCGGGAGATAATAATTTTTAAAAAATTAATGCTAAACTTTTAAAAAAGTCATCTTCCTAATTACTTCTCAAGATTCTTTGTTAGTCTGAAGAATCTAAATTTATGCTAACTTCAGACTCAACCTGAAACTGAATTCTACACATTATCTGCACTTAATTTTTAATAACCCATCCTTTAGCTTCTGTAAAATCATAACAAACAAACATGTACTAAAATTGTCCATGGCATTCACACCAACTGGCTTCCTAAGAACAGTCCCAGTTCAGCAATAAGCTGGATTTTATGCTGGCATGCAACACTGTAAGTGGAAGTTTAGAAGGATGCCCTGATGTTAAAATAACTGCCATCAGACTCAACATCCCAAAAATGTTTTGGTTTTGGGTGGTCTTAAGAAAACTTGCAGGAGTTCTACATGTCAGCATTTCTACAGCATCTGAGTAGATGTTTCCTATGAAAAGACTCTGCATAGTGTCCTAGGAACTCATCCTGAGACTACTCTTGCCATTCCAAAGAACCAATGTTTCACCTGACTGATGACACTAAAGTAAAGGTCTCTCATGTCTTCTGCAGTCACTATGTTAGAGGAGGAAGACCTGGCACAATTTAAGTGGAGACTCTCAGTAACACACAAGAGAAACGGCTGAGTGTGTAAATGTTTGGACACCAAATTTAAACAGAGGGCACAAAAGCAACTCCATGTTAAAATTCCCCTGGAAGACAAAGAATACACAGGGCTCTGTGAAATCCTCCACAAAGAAGGCACCATTTCCCTGGCTGTGCTGCATATATATATAAGAGACCAGGCAATGCCAGCAAGCGCCTCAGCCTACACCACTGAACGGCCAGTCCAGGACCCTGAGGCTGCTGGTTAGGGAGACCAGGAAGGTAACAAAAGAAAAAATCTGAAAAAGACAACTACAACCTAAGAGACAAATATTCTTCTTTTCAAGGTCAATCACAGCCTTGTATTCCTATTTCCAGCCACACAACCAAAGCTCCATCCTCAGAAGTAAAAGTCTATGTTTCTGGATACTCACTGAACATGTCTACCTTTAAAATCATGATATATAAAAGCTGTGAATCCTGATAAATATCCATCCCAACATTTGAACTTTGATACATGAATAAAAAGGAAAAACCAAATTTTGGCAGAGTGAGTTACATTAACCACACAGGCCCAAACCAGTGTCCTCTTGTTGCTGAAGCCTCCTGCAGCATCATGAGCACTGCCACGCACAGGTGGTACTTTTCACCCACTGCAGGCTTCATTCTCAGGACACCAGAGAAGATGGTATAGACAGGTCTACTCTGTCGAGAAATACAAACTGCTATGTGAAGACTTTCAAACTCTGAGAAATCTGAAGATAAAGGCAGAACATGAGGTTTACAAATTAACAGTTCCTGTAGATAAACAATAGTCTCACTCTCCAGAATCCCAATCCCAGAGTATAGAAACAAAAAGCTGCCATTCCCACAGGAAAAATAAAACCACCAACAGCACAGCCAATGGTAAAGAGCACTTCTTGATGGATCAGAATGGGAAAGAACAAACAACCACTTTTAAATGACACAATCATAAAGGCCAATTTGGTGGAGAAAATTAAGACACACAGGGTACAGCAATATGAAGACCATCAAGTGCTAGGAGCGCTGCAGCCAGGGTGCCACATGCACCAGGCAACACCAGCTCACCACTCTCCTGAGGCCAGAGCCAACAACCTCCAGGTGGCTCTCAGCAGTGTCTTCCAGACTTTAAAGGAAGATCTCAAAAGGAGGATCACAACCAACTCACACTGTGCATGCCACGTGGGGGCCACACCAGCAAGCACAACCACCAGTCATCCAAGGTTCTGATGGCTTCCCACACAATTTAGGGTTCTGAAGACAACATGGAAGGGAGATTGAAAAAAAATTTCCAGAGAAGTGTACTATACAGACAGCATCTGTGACAGAGGACAGGACACAGTAACGGAGGAGACTGATTTGCCCACTGTTTAGGTGGCACTGCCCATGTGGCATTATCAGGAATGGGAACATTAGTTTTCTCCCTCTGTTCCCAGTGACTGCAGAAGACCTGAGCTACACAGTGACTTGTAAAAAGTCACAGGGACTGACTGTATAACAAACAGCCTAACTTGACAGTGTCCGCGTTCTTCTTGAGCAGGACGTGTAGCGCCTGATGTTGGCCAGGCACCCCCTTCCTCTCCTACTCACCTTCACCCACTGCCTGCAAGCTCCTTATGCAGCCACCTCACTCCTCTCTGTCCACATCAGAAACCTCTCCTTGTTGGCTCTCCACACTCAGGCGGCACATGACAGACATGCTCACTAGGGAACATCTGATCCAGGGGTGGCACTTCTTCTTAAAGGGCTGGACAGTAAATATTTTAGGAACTGCAGGCCATGCCCTCTCAGAAACCACTCACACAGACAACAAGAAAGGCTATGTTCTATAAGCCTTTGTGGGCATTCAAATCTGAATTTCATATGATCTCGTTACAAAATATTATTATTCTCTTGATTTTTGTTCAACCAACCTAAAAAAGCAAGAAACATTCCTAGTTTACAGGCCATATAAAAAACAGCCAGCCAGCTAGCCAGCCACACCTGCTGAATAATCTCCCAATTTATGACCCTGGTAACTATCCCTCTACTCTCAATAATGGGTTTCTTGGAAAATGACACATTCCACACACTATTCAATTCAAAGATCACTTTTTAAAAAGTTGCCACATCTGTCACAAAACCTTAAATACCGAGAAAAAGACCTCAAGTTAAACCAACTGCTCCCAGTCCCACTGACACTCCGTGCACAGTCTAGATCCTTGAAGAGAATTCAGGCAAATGCCGATGGCAAGCATCGAGAGACACCTTTAGGCCTGAGTTCCTCATCTATATCACCATGTAGGCTTCCAAGTCAGCATTAGAATAAATAATTAAAGTGTATAATTCTCAAAACATTTTAAAAATGGTTTGCAGTGCTGGGGACTGAACCCAAGGTGCAAAGAATGCTAGGCAAGTTCTCTACCACTGAGCCATACCCACAGCCCTCAAATCACTTTGTGAAGCAATATTTCAATTGTGGTATTTTAATAGTTAAAAAGTGATTCTGGTTAAAATGTATCAAATTCAGAAACCCTCATACTCTATATTTACAGTTCCAATTTTACGTAGGTTATTAAATCTAAGGTACTTGTTTTAATTTGCTAAAGTTCATAAGAGGTAGACACAGAAACTAAATCACTGACTTACAAGTTTGTTACTTCCACTTGGGATCTAGTACTTATCAACACTCTACCCTTCACCCTATGGTCCACCAACATTCACTGACTCCCTATACCAAGTGTGGAATCGGTAAGAACAAACTTAATCTGGACTGCAGCATTACACACATTCTTCTCACAGGAAACTTAAACTACCTGGAGGAAAATGTTAAAAACACTCAAAAACTGTGTGTGTGTGTGTGTGTGTGTATTTTTTTCTAACAGAGATTGAGTCTAAGGGCACTTTACTGCTGAGTCATACATCACCAGTCCTTTCTGAGACAGTGTCTTGCTAAGTTGCTGAGGCTGGCTTTTATAACTTGCAATCCCCCTGCCTCAGTCTCCCGAGCTACTAGGATTACAGGTATGGCCACTGCACCTGGCTTCAAAAACAATATTCTGATGAAGACTAAGCTAGAGACAAAATCACACATGTGGTATTTTTTTAGATTGACACTTAGGGTGTATAATTTCACACCCTTTGAGGCACCGGGGTATGCAGGCTGTGCCTGAGATCCCGTTAATCTTTGTCCATGTTTGACAACCAGTGAGTGTTCTAGAAGGTCATTCTAAAGCCCTCGTCCACTCTCTGCTCCTAACGTCCACTGGAGAAATCTTTGAAAGTGGGCAGATATTTTTAAAAACAACAATCATTTGGTTTTCAAATTAGTTGTAGTTTTGTTGAAGTTTAAACACTGATTTTGTTTATTAAAAGGAGGTTTAGCAGGAGCAGATTCTTTTGTTGGTGTTCTACCATAATGGGTGTTCCTCCCCGTCATTTCCAGCTCCTGTACCATTCACCAAGACTACCAGAGCAGTCTCTGGGCAGACACCCATCCTCTCCAACACTTCCTGCTACCCTTTCAGCATTGGAATACCAGCACAGCACGTGGAAGAATGACCTCCACTTTAGTTAAGTGTCCTGAAAACCAACTGGCAAAATGAATCAAACTGCCACTAGCTTTACTGAAGTTAAAACACAAGTGCTTCTACTTTCTGGAAAAATATTTGAATGGAGCATTAAAATTTATTATACCTAAGAATTCCTCTCAAACGACTTTAGACTCCAGCTCCACTGAGGCCAGCCAGCTTGCTTTCGATTTTCCACTTACAGTGCCACAACACCAGAAGAGAAGCCATTCTGATGAAAAGTTGATTTTGGGGGGTTAATTTTGAAAAATCAAATATCAGAAAATACTTGAAACACAATTTTTTAGAATCCAAGGTGCCACATAACCTCCAGGGTGTTTTCTTTTTGTTAATGCCATGTGACAATAAAAGATAACCACAATTTTTATATAAATAATATTTCTGTTAAATTTCTGATCTCAATTTAGCTATTGTTAGTTTACAAGTAAAAAGGTAGATATCATAAATTAGGGTAAGCAAAGCATGCAAATCTAAAGAGTCTATATCTGAATTCCTAGATTAGCATTAAAACCAATCACCGCAACAAATACCTCAACAGTACGCCTCGTGTGCAGAAAGGAAGCGATACTGAGCATTCAATGCCACAACCGTAAGGTTTTCGGAGAAGCACCTGTGG